GGGTGGATTGTTCTGTCAGAAAGTTTCTCCTTATTTCAAGGTTGAATCTCTCCTTGTTCAGTTTCCATCCATTATTCCTTCTCTGGCCTTCTGGTGCTTTGGAAAACAGCTTGACCCCCTTCCTCCTCCTCTTTGTGGCAGCCCCTCAAATATTGGAAGATGCTCTCCTGTCTCCCCTGGTCCTTCTCTTCCCTGGACTAGCCAGGCCCGGTTCCTGCAACCGTCCATCGTATGTTTCAGCCTCCAGTCCCCTCATCCTCCTGGTTGCTCTTCTCTGCACTTTTTCTAGAGTCTCCACATCTTTTTTTTATAGTGTGGTGACCAAACCTGGATGCTGGACTCTAGGTGTGGCCTTACTAAGGCTTTGTAGAGTGGTATCAGTACATCCCTTGATCTTGATTGCATCCCTCTGTTAATGCAATTTAGGATTGCATTGGCTTTTTTGGCTGCTGATGCACACAGTTGGCTCCTATTTAAGACTCCAAGATCCCTCTCACCGTTCCTGCTATTGAGCCTGGTTTCACCCCATCTATATGTGTCCTTTGGGTTTTTCTTGTAGGACTTTACTTTTCTCTACATCAAATTTCATTTTGTTACATCTTGAGCCCGTCTTCTTGGATGTTGGCTATTCCTGCCAGCTTAGTATCATCTGCAAATTTGGTAAGTTCCCCTTCTATTCCCTCATCTAAGTCATTAATGAAGATATTGAAGAGTCCTGGGCCTAAGAGGGAACCTTGTGGCACCCCACTGCTTCCTTCCCTCCAGGTAGACATAGACCCATTAAGGACTACTCGTTGAGTACGGTTTGTCAGCCAGTTGCAAATCCATCTAGTGGTGGTGCTAACCATTCCACTTCTTTCTAGCTTACTAAAAAGTGGGTTGTGGTCTACTTTGTCAAATGCCTTGCTGAATCAAAATATATTATGTCCACAGTATTTTGCTGGTCTACTAATTTAGTCGCTGTGTTGAAGAATGAAATCAGATTGGTTTGGCACGATCTGTTCCTAACAACCCCGTGCTGACTTCTAGTTATTACTTTACTTGTTTCTAGATGTTGGCAGATCTGTTTTTTTATTATCTTTTCCAGTATCTTCCCGGGTGTTGATGTTAGCCTGATTGGTCTGTAGTTTCCTGGGTCTGTTTTTTTCTCTCCTTTTTTGAAGATGGGGACCACATCGTCTCTTTTCCAGTCCTCTGGGAGTTCCCCGGTGTTTTTTGAAAGATATGGTGCAGCGGTTCTGAGATGACCTCTGCCAGCTCCTTTCAAACTCTGGGATGTGATCCATCAGGCCCCGGTGATTTGTGTTCCATCGAGATCAGACAGGTGTTCTCTTACTGTTTTTTTGCTTATTTTAACTTTTATTTCTGGTCTGTCTTTCACAGTTTTTGGTGGGTTGAGCTATAGTTTCTTTTTGCGTGAAGACGGATGCAAAGAATGAGTTAAGCAGTTCTGCTTTCTCTCTGCTGCCTGTTACTTCCCTGCCATCTTCTCTCTTTAGTGGGCCGACTGTTTCCTCGATTTTTTTTTCTTGTGATTTATATGTTGGAAGAAACTATTTTTTATTATCTTTGACTTTTGTTGCAAGTCTTTGTTCGTTCCGAGCCTTTGCTATCCTGACTTGGTCTTTGCAGATTCTGGCTATCCTGCTGATATTCTGCCTTAGTTGTACGTCCTTCTTTCCATTTTTTGTCCTTGTCCTTTTTTCCTTTCGATTTCCCAGAGAGATCTTCGTGCAGCCATGCTGGTTTCTTCTTGGGTTTCTTGTTTTTCTTTCTCAGTGGTATTGTGAGGCTTCCGGAGGGCAACGTCCTGGCAGCTCCTCAAAATTAAGTGTGTGTGTGTGTGGGGGGGGGGGGGGGGGGGGGCCAAGGGGGACGCGGCCGAAGCCCCGGGGGGAGGGAGGAAAAGGGGGGGGGGGGGTGGGGGGTGGCTGTCGTCACGGTAACTGCCACAAGAGAGACCGGCCCCTCACAAGCCCCCCTGGATCCCGAGAAGCGGCCCGTCTGGTGCCACCAAGGAGGAGCCCCAGAACCGAAGTGCCACAGAGCTGCCTCCTGAAGCAGCCTGCAAGACAGCCCCCTCCCACAGGCAGCGCCACGAGCCCCCAACTCTTGGGGTTGGCGGGAGCCCCCCCCCCCCCCCCCCCGGCGGGGGGGCCGGGCATTCGCTGCCCCCGCCGGGAGGGGGGGGTGGCCCCCCCCCGCCCCAAACCCCCCCCCCCCCCGTCTGTTTATTTAGGTCATCAGTCGACCAACTGGTAGGTGGTCCTCAACGCACGACCACACTGAAACCCCCCCCTCAAGTTCCAGTTGCTCAGTGAATTTGGCCACACTTGGTCAGGGAAGCCCTGCAGTCGTTAAGTGAACTAGGCGGTCTGGCTTGCCCCACTGACTTTGCTGGTCATCAGATGGTTGCAACAGGGGACCAAGTGACCCCCCCCCCCCGGAGGCTGCGACCGCCATAAACACGAGAGAGTTGCCGAAGGCCTGAGTGGTGATGCCCTGACCCTGGGGGTGCTGGCAGGTGTCCCAGGGCCAGCCGAGCACCCCCTGCCTGCGTGGCCCCTCCGTCCCTTCCAGCGCCCCCCTCCCCCCGCCTTCAAGGGCAGGAACCAGAAGGAGCAGGTGTAGGGTTCGCAGGCATAACCCTCGGAAGCAGGAGCCCCCTCGCCTCCCTTCGGCTGAGGCAACCGCCACGCCCATCCGGCTCCGGCTGGGCTCCCAAGCTGCCTTTTTCAGGCAGCCCCCCCCCCCCCCCCCCCCCCCCCCCCCCCCCCCCCCCGCCTGGCCCAAAGGCCCGGCTCCTCCAGGCGCAGCCCTGAGGGAAAACCTCCACTTCCATCCACATGGAGCCCAACGTTTCTCCTTTGCCCCATTTTACAGCCTCCCTTGACGCCGTTGTTAAGTGAATCGCTGCAGTTGTTAAGCCGGCTTCCCCCACTGACTTTGCTGGTTGCCAGAAGGCCGCCAAAGGGGACCGCGTGGCCTCCCAGGATGCTGCGACCGTCACATACATGGATCAGCCGCCGAGCGCCTGAGCTTTCATCACGTGACCCCTGGGGAGGCTGCAGCTGTCGTAAGTGTGAAAAACGGTCACAAGTCACAGGAGAGGATCAAGTGGGGGCCTCCGCAGGCAGGAGGAGGAGGCCGCCAGCGTCGCTGTGAAAACTGCTTCTAAAATGCCCTCAATCCTCGGGGGGGGGGGGGGGGGGGAATCTACGGCCACTTGACCACCTGCAGACTCCGACTCCCAGAATCCCTCAGCTCTGCCGGCCCAGGAATTCTGGGCGCTGAAGTCCCTCAGGTGGTCAAGTGGCCCTAGATGCCCCCCCCACCTCCAAGTCAAGCCTGGGGCCGTTTTTATGCCACCTGCTGCCCCCCTCCGGCCCACCAAAGGAGCCTCCCCCCACGGGAGCCCCAGCGTCTCCCCACAGGTGCCAGGCTGGAGGCTCAGGCGCCCAGGGGCCCCTCCAACCCTGCCGGGGCTCCCGTTCCAAAGGGAAGCGAAGGGAACTGCCCCCCCCCTCCCGGAGCGCACCGGAAATTCGGTCTGTGCACCCTCTCTGGTGGGGGGGGGAAGAGGGGCCACATAGCCCCTCCAAGGGCCCTTGGGAGGGGGCCACCCACATGTCCTGGCCTGGGGGGCCCTTAGCATTGGCCGTGCGTTGCACCCCTGCCCCCTTGGCTGGCCAAGCCCCCTGCGGTCTCGACACGCCTGGGCGAGACCTGGTAAGGGGGGGGGAGGGGCTGTTCTTAAGGAGCCCCCAAGACCTGCAGCCCCTTTGCTCAGCCTGGGAAGCCTCAGGGGACCCCAAAGGGACCCGCAGCTCTCACTGGGGGGGGGCAGGGGAACTCAAGAATTGGGGATGATCCGGGGGGGGGGAACGGCACACGCAGGCCCCGCGGTGGTGGCCCATAAACGGATCTTCTTCCTGCGATTCACACAAACCATAATCCAATCAGGCCCTAAAACGGAACAGCCTGCCCGGGACGGGTTTGATTCGCGCAATTATAAAGCAAGTTATTAAAGCACTGGGGGGGGGGAGGAGGAGAGGGGGGAAAGGAAGCCCCCCCCCGAGTCCAGATTGGAACAAATTGGGTGCAGATGGGTGGGGGAGGGGGCTCCTGCTCCCCTCCCCGAGATGCCCTGCCGCAAACGGCCCGGCTTCAATTAGCGAGCTTGCACACCAGAACGAGACGCCCCACTTCCCCAAAATGAAGCCCCCCCCCAAAGGAACATTCTCCACGCATCTGTGGTCGGAAGGCAGGGACCCCTCCCCTCCCCTCCCCCTCGGCAGGCCAACGCTCCCGCTGCCCAGATTTCGCCCGGCTGCTCTCGCTGCTCGGGGGAGGCCGGGCTGGCACATGCCCGCCAGGACACAAGGGGTGCTGAGCGATGGCGCCGCCGCAAGGACACCCCACCCCCCCAAAATCTGGCAGCCCTCTGGGAACGGGTGGGGCCCTGGCCTGGCCGGGGGGGGGGAGCTGCCTCCTCAGGAGCCATGGGGTCCCTGGCAGAGGACCCGGGGCAGCTGCCTCCCAGGATGGAGGGTCTGCTGCCAGCAGGGGCCACTTCCAGACTGAGAGCAGGAAGGGGCCCTGGAGGCCTTCTAGTCCAACCCCCCGTCCTGCCCCATTCCGGACCAATGGCCGCCTGGTCTCTTCTCAAGACCCTCCAGGGTTGGAGCCCCCACAACCTCCCGGCTGCTTCCTCCCTAAGTCACCTTCCCTCCGTTGCTCCTTCTCCTGCCCTCCTTGACCCCCCCCGCTCCTCTGGGGCAGCCCCTCCAGTATTGGAAGATGCCCCCCCGCCCCCCCGGTCCTTCCTTCCTCTAGACCGGCGTCCCAACTCCCGGAACCGTTTCCGCTGGGGGGGGGGCTCCCCCCCCCCCCGGGGGGGCCCGGGGGGGGGGGGGCCCTTCTGGAACCCGCCCCTGCCCTACGAGGGGGGGACCCCCCGCCCCCCCCCCCCCCCCCCCCCCCCCCCCGGCCAGGCCTACCTTTGGGCTGGGAGTTGTGGACGGCAAACATGTTGATGGCCGTGAGCTGGAGGAGGCGGCTGCTTCCGATGGGGGGGGGGCTGTGCTCCAGCAGGGCCTGGAAGGCGGCCAGGACTTCGGCTGCCACAGCCGGGAAGGTCTCCATCCTGAAGGGCGGGAGGGCAGGCCAGTGAGCGAGAGGCGGGCGGGGCCCTCCAGAGCCCAGCTAGCCTGGCCTCCTCCAAAGAAAGCGGGGAGTGGGGGGGGGGGCGAGGTTCCCAGCCCATTTTACAGAGAGAACCTTTCCGGTAACGGTGAGGAGGGGGCTGGGCGGCTTGACTCCTTCCCTTTCTCGCCAGGCGCCCCCCCAAGCCCCCCCCCTGCAAGCTTGGGCCAGTCTGGGGGGGGGAGAAGCCTGCAGCCCCCGCGGGCAGAGCTGACTGATGGGACCAGCCCGCCTGACGGAGGGCCAGAGGCCTGGGCACGGACGGCCTCCAGAGAGTCTTCCTTCCAGGGGCCACGGGAGGAGGAGAAGGGGTGGCGGCGGTGGCGGCGGTGGCAGGGGGGCCGCCTGCTCAGCCTCGCCCACCTCAGGCAGCGGGGGGGGGGGCAGCTGCAGGGCAGGGCGGGGCAGGGCAACCGGGGACCCCGCGGTTAGGGCTTTGCCACCCCAGCTGCCCTCCTCCACGCAAGGGTCCTCTGTGCCCCCATGCCCCGGAACTGGCCCCGGGAGCGGGGTGGGCACTGCAGAGACCCCAACCAAATTCTGCTTTTGCTTGTTCCTTTAAAAAAAAAAAAACTGTCTCTAGGGCGTGGAGTCCTCGACTTACAGAGCCCAAACATTTCTATGGCAGTGAGGGAGTGAATTTTGCCCTGTTTTATGGCTTTGTCACCGCAGCCATTAAGTGGATCTCTGCAGTTGTTAAGGGAGCCACGTGGTTGTTAAGTGGATCTGGCCTCCCGGCTGGCTTTCATTTGCCAATCGCACAAGGGGATCCATCACCTGACCCCGGGACGGCTCAACCGCCGTGGGCCCCTGCCAGCTGCCAAGCCCGTTTTGATCAGGGGCCCATGAGGCGGCTGCAACGGCCGTAAGCGAGAAGAACGGCCATAAGTTCCCCCTTTTGGCTGCCGTTTCAACGGACCGGTCGCCCAGCCGGCGGCCTGGAGCTGCCCAGGGCAGAACCGGCCCAGAGCAGGGCCTGGCCCGCGTTGGAAGGGGACCGGCCGAGGGGAAGGGGGCGGGCTGGGAGCCGGCCTGGCACGAGGGAGCGAAACAAGGCCAGGGACCAGATGGGATTCACCTGAAGTTTGGAGAACGGCTGATCCTGGGACAAAAATAAATCTCTTTTGAAGGCCAAGACATCTGTTCCAGAGGACTGGAAAATACCAGGCTGACTTCAGCTTTCGGGGGGAGGCCGGGGGGGGGGGGGGGGGGGGGGGGGGGGGGGGGGGCAGGCTCATGTCAGCTTCATCCAGCTTTAACCTCCGAGGAGCCGAGAGGGAGGCTGGAGAACCACCATCCAAGATGGAGACGGAGGAGCCGTGCCGGGAATGAGGCCGGGGGGGGGTGAGGGGGGCCTTCCCCCAAGGGACGTCCCGCTTCTCTGGCCAGCCACCCTGCCCTGGACATTCGGACCCTGCCGGTGAGGGCCGAAGGGGAGGGGTGGGGGCCGCCTGGGCAGCTGCCCGGAGCAGAAGGCCCTCGCCCGGAGACCCAGCGCCCCAACCAGAGGCTGACCAGGGGGACAGCCGGCCTCCCTCGGGATCCCAGCCTCTGGGAGGGATGGCATCCGAAAGGCACCGCACGATTTCCATGCTAAGCCAGGCTGAGAAGCCCCACGTCCAGCCCACACGTGGACAGGCAGCGTTGGGGGGCCTGGGGACCGGGGCGGACCAGTCGGGGGAAAGGCCAACTTCTTCGTGAATTGCACTGGTTTGGGAAAACCACCCCGGCCTTCGGTCACGGGGGGGGGGGAGCGAAAACGGTGCATTTGTGTTTGACCTCTGGAGAAAGCGAGCCTGGGGCCGGGTGCATTTCAGGGGTGGGGAGTGGGGGCCCCTTTGGGACCGGTGGACTCCCAGGACTCATGAGCCAGCCGGGCTGGCTGGAGGATTCTGGGAATCGAAGTCCACGGGTCTTTCCTGTCTATGGAGATCCTCCATCGCTGGGTCACGGCTGTCCCAAAGGGGCTTTTTCCCCCAGGAGGCAACCGGACTTCGTCACTCCTGAGGTTCTAAAGAACTGAGGAAGCTCCTGGGAGGAGAAGTGAAATGTCTTCAAAGGAAACCGGAAAGGCCCGTTGCCTCTTGGGGAAAAAGCCCCTTTGGGACACAACAGTTCCGAGGCTGGACTCCCCTGAGGCAGGCTCTCCTCCTGCTTGAGCCGAGGGCTGGACTGGAAGACCTCCCAGGGCCCCCACCGGCTCTCTTATGCTGTTACCCAAGGGGCTGGTTTTGCTCTGAGCCAGCAGAGGAGCTGCTGCTGCTGCTAGGCCGAGCGCTGAGCCAGCCTGAGAGGCAGAGCCGGCATCCCCCCCCCGCTCCCCCCCCCCCGCCCCCGCGGGGGGGGGGGGGGGGGGGGGGGGGGAGGAGGAGGCCGGTCCTTCGCATCCCACCCTGTGCCCTCCGTTCCAAACACCAGCCCAGCTGCTCCCGGGACTGGATTCCAGAAGGGCTCGTAATGGAGGCGAGAGAAAACAAACATCCTGCAGCCTTACCCAATCCTGGTAAACAGCTTCCCATGAGCCTGGAGAAAGCGCAGGACGAACCTTTTGTTCAGCTGCATGGGAAAAGAGAGCGGGGGGGGGGGGGGGGGGGGGGGGGGGGGAAGGGGGGGGCACGAAGAAGAAGACGAAGACGAAGATGGGAAAACGAGCCAGGCCCGCTTGCTCCCTCTTCCTGCGAGCAACCGCGCAAAAGCCGAGAGGGTCCCGGGTGACCGGAGAGCCTGGCCGGGGACGAGCGGGTGGGGCAGCAGATGGGAACTGACCGGCCGGGCCCTGGCCTCCAGCCTCC